ACTTTGGTTCTAGTATTAGCTCTACTGCTAGTTTGCCCTGTGACCTTGGCTATAATTCATTTAAAAAGACCTAGATTCTTGCCCTCTAGGAAATTAGCCCAGTAGGAGAGGGGCCATGTGTGTACATAAATGACTGTCCCTGCTTGGTACCCACAGGGAACTGAATAGTACTGATCTGTGATACAGTACTATTCGTATGCACAAGACCTTCTGAGCCTCACCTCTTCATATCCCAGTGAGAGCAGCACAGTGTTAGAAGAGGGGAAAAACCTCTGTACGCACAGAGGAAGTCCTTGTCTAAACTTGAAAAAACACCAAGAAGTGTTGGCCCTGTGCATTATTGAGACCTGGTTTTGTTCAGGAAATGTATTAAGTGCTTACTACACGTCAGGCTCTGGAATGCAATCACTGGGCTAGTTTGTATAGTTTGACAGAAGGGACCCTAATCCAGCCTATTGGTTACTCCTTGGCTGGCATTCTGATCTCTTTCTTGCCCCGTGGACATGAAGGGGGTGTGGAATGGGCTTACCATCCATCCCATAGGCAGGTGACAGACATCTTCCCACTTTGACAAAGCCGGGACTTCCCCTTGAATGCTCTTTCCTCATTTAGGAAAAGCCGACAGCTGGAGGCACACTGCAGTCCCCATTTCTCTTCAGTCCATTGTTGTAAACCAGTGGTTCATTTGTTTCCTTTGCTACCTGTTAGTATCCGGACTTAAGAATCAGGTGCAGTGTTCTTAAGGAAACTGAAGTAAAGAACAGTGGACTGTTACTCATTCAAAAATATTTATCCAGAAAGACAAGGTGAGGATGATTCAGGCTGACCCAGTCCTTTATTTGTGTCAGTGACCTTTTATCAGGGAGATAGTTCATGTAAGGGAAAGACCCTCGGGGCTTTGGCATTCACTGATCACTGGCCTCTGCCTCCTGGCTGTCAGTGCTGGGCGTGAACCCCTCTGGGCCTGTGTTTTGATCTGTAAAATGAGACTGATAACCCTTACCTGGAAGGCTGGTTTTGAGGTTTCAGTTAATCGTGCAGAGCACCTAGCAGTGTCCTGCACACGACCAACTCCTAATGAATCACTGTTCTTTTCTGGTTTTCACTCAGTCCGACTCTGAACTTGGAGACACACATGTATTTACTGTTCTCTGGGCTTGGTTTCCTCTGGTTAGATATTTTTTCCAATTCAGCTTGTTAAGTGAGTGCCCCCCAAAGAAGATGGATGTTAGGGTGGTGTTACTTTCTCCAAGGACCCACTGCTGAGAGGGCTCCAGTGACTCCTGATGAGTGACACATGTCTGACCAGCGATTGAGACATCTGGCAGCCCACTCAGAAGAATGGCCTTTCCATCGGGCATTTGCCCAGTAAGTCCTCAGATGCCTGATGCGGTGCTTGTTCTATCAGCAGTCTGGCCCCGCTCTTGACATGCACCACCAAGTCTGGTTTCTTAACTAGGGAAGTTTAGAACGAGTCGTGCAAGAATCCTGTACCCTGCAGAGCCTCTAGTTATTTCAAGGGGGTATTTGACATTGTGCAGACCAGACTGTATTTAAATGAGAGAAGGGAAAGAGAGCATCTGTGCCGCTCAGTAAGAGGAGTTACTCTGTTTCCTTATTTGTACGTTGAAGTGCTGAACTAGATCACGGATGCTTCAAGGTAAGAGGGCTGTGAGCAGTGGTCTAATTTAAAAGTCCTCCATCTGATGGCAGAATCTCCTTGACAACAAGTATGGCAGATAGGTTGCAGCCTCTTCTGCAGCAGTCTCTTCATTTTTAAACATATAGGTTGTTTTGTTTTTAAATTTCTATTTATATTGGCCAAAGTTGTCTTTCCCAATATCAACCTTTGAAATTATACACAATAATTTATTCTTTTCCATGAGTTGGTCCTATAGCTATTTGAAATAGTTGTCATAGTGCCTCGGTCTTCCCTTCCTCCAAAACCCACGCTCATAAACATTATTGAGATATTTGCTCCAGAATTATTCAGTTCCTTTATTCTGAAACACACATGAGGAAAAAAATGCATTAAACAAATAGGAAATGTCCTAAAACCACGATGATACAACTGAAATTTTGGCCTTCATTAAAATACCTACTAGAGAGGGGGTGACCAAATAGGATCAAGGCAAATGGACCCAGGTGTATCTCTAGTGCTGGGGTTGATTTTCCCATTAGAGCAGTTTGGCAGGTTTACTCATAGAATGTACAACCTGTAAACTTAAACATATTTAGGGGTCTCTGCATACAGTCCACTAATCTGGCTTCCAGGTTGGGGTCAGCTGTTCCCTTCCTTATCCTACCCACTCTTCATTCCTTGTGGAACCCTTTGTGTGGGAACAAATCACTTCCTGTTTAGTCTGAGATTCTCTGAGGACTTCCTGTGCATGTGAACAGTGGCAAAAAAAAAAAAAAAGAACAGCTGAGAATAAAGTATATATATGAAAAAGGGAACAAGCTACTTCCAGGCTGATGGCTGACATTACCCAAAGTGACAACCCAAAGGCAAAGACAATCCAGTCTTCATACAGCCTGCTAATGGCTGGCTAAGTCAGTATGGAGGATTGTAATGCGATGTGAATGGGTCCTGGGGTCCCCAAGAAGAGCCACACACTCCACAAAGCCTGGCCCTGGCCTACTGCAACATGCTCACTCTGTGGGAGACCAGTGAAACAACCTCTCAGGTTTGGGTGATTGGCTGCTGCTCTCCTCTTACAGGCTGCCTGAGGCTAGCAGGCTCTGACTTCATACTTTTTACAGAGAAGTAAGGAAATACAAATTAATGATTTATGATGTATCTTTAAGTGAAATAACCAATCTAGACCATCTTTCTAGCATCTTCTACTTCTATGAAGTACAACATAAAGAAGTTAAGCTTTGGAGTCTAATAGACCTGAATTTGAACCCTGACAGGCAAGTTCTGTGACTTTGGCCAAGTGATTAGTATCTCAGGGACAGCACCCTGCTCTCAGCTGGCCCTGAGGGTGAAATGATATGATGGAGTGGGAATGGCTCAGTGCCTAGTATCCAGTAGGCACCCAATAAAGGAAAGCCCGTACTGGAGGAAGAAGGGCTGGGTGCCTTTACCATTACATGTGGCTGCAGCCGGATAGCAGCGAATCCAGCAGTGTTCTCTCCATCCTGTGTGACCCGTTAACTCTGGAATCTGAATGCAGAAAGGCGCTGTCTGGGTTTCAGTGACATTCTTTTTTCATTTTACCAATCCCAGCTCGTCAGAATTTGCCTGTCAAAATAAACAGCAACAACTGTTCTTCAATAAAACTGAGACTAACATTAGGGGGAAAAAATGGAACTTCTAAGAGAACCTACAAGGAAGTTATTGCTAATCGTCATAAAGCCTTCTAACCATAGTTCTAGTAAATAGACAATAAATTTTTATTTGTACTTCCTCTCCACTCTCAATACTAGAGCAAGACAGGGATGTGTTGTAACAATCTAAGTTAGCTAGGAAATTTAGCCTCCATCAGCTGAATACTTACTTTGTAGCAGACACTTGCTTAAGTTCTTGATATGCATTATTTCAATCTGGATTCACAACGGATCTGTGAGAGTGGGTGTTGAGAACCCCGTTCTACAGGTGAAGAAGCAGAGTCCTAGAAAATTCAGTTACTGTCCATGTCAGTTCTGTCTGACTGCAAAACCTGTGCTCTTGACCCACTGTGTTTCATTGCCTTCTTCAGAAAGTTCTTGGGATAGGCAGCCAGTAACCGGATGATTAGATAAATAATTAAGGGTACGCTACAATCTGGGTAACTCCTAACAGTCATCAAGACCCACAGACAAAATACCAGGGCCTTTGGAGACAGACCTTCCTGGGTTTGAATCCCAGCACTGTCACTTAAGAGTGGTATCATTTAGGCATGTGACATTTCTCCTTGATAAAATGGAATGTCATTGAAGTTTAAGAAAAATAATATTGGGGGAGCCAGGGAGAGATTAGCCAGAGAACATATATGCATAGCCCACGGACATAGACAGCAATGTAGTGAAGGGAAGGCAGGGGTGGGGGAGGCAGTGTCTGGGTAGAGGGGGCAAACGGGGGTGGGGAATGGAGGACATCTGTAATAGTGTCAACAATTAATTTTTTTCTTTATTTTTAAATAAAAAATACTATTTGGGAGTTGCTTCGTACATAGTAAGCACTCAAGTAGTTGCTCTTCCTGCTGCATGAGGAAGATGCTAGGGAAGAAAAGACGAAGAGGTATCTTCTTCTGTTACATTTGTTGAGTTAGGTTTACCGTTTTCTAATGCAGAAGCCTTTAACACCAGGCTGATGGAGAAGGCAGTTCTCACTGGGGGCTCTCAGCCCTAGCAGAATACATGCCTATCTCTGTTCTTTTTTTTTTTTAAGGTTTTATTTATTCATTTTTAGAGAGGGGAAGGGAGGGAAAGAAACATTAATGTGTAGTTGCCTCTCGTGTGCCTGCAACCCAGGCATGTACCCTGAGTGGGAATGGAACTGGCGACCCTTTGGTTTGCAGGTGGGCACTCGATACACTTGAGCTACACCAGCGAGGGAGGGCCTGTCTCTGTTCTTTAAAGAGGAAATTACTAGTTTTCAGTTCCATCGTTTATCTTTTTAACAGTTTACCCATCTTTAAGTGTATAACATCTATTACTCATTCAGGGTGTTTGGAAAACTTCCTGTTTATGCCAGTGAACCCCTGATAAAGGATGTAGATAGTCATCTCATTGTTATTAAGTAAACGTGGCCCACTTCTTATAAACACCTTTGTTCTGATAATGCAGTCTCATGGTCAGAGTGTGGTTATATGATAGCTGGCTGGCATCTTGTATGATATTTGGAGGCTAGAAAATGCAAAATTGGATGAACAACTGGGTCTCTTTATCTTGCTTGGAACCTTTCCAGTAGTTTCCATACCACCGTGAGTTTCCTTCTGGAAGCCTTTCTGACATGTAGGTGTGTGATGAGACTCACTTTGTTTTTCTGCTTGCTTTTCTCTTTTCCTGGACAGAAACCAAAGCCCAAACCCCGGCCATCCATCACGAAGGCAACCTGGGAGAGTAACTATTTTGGGGTCCCCTTAACAACTGTCGTGACTCCAGAGAAGCCAATTCCTGTTTTTATTGAGAGATGCATTGAGTACATTGAAGCCACAGGTAAGCACGTTACCTCAGAGCCAGTTACAGCTCTCACTGTCTGCAGGACAATTTCCTGGGGCTGAGCCCCCTGGAGATTGTGGGGTCAGCTCTCGTTTCTTGTGGGGTGCTTGCTGAGAAGGAGCCGAGCAGTGCCAACAGCTCTCAGTGTCCCCCCCTGCATCTCCATGGCTGTGAGGCTGTCGTGTGGGGTCTGGGAGAGCTTTCAGAATGTGAAACAATCCTGTCCTTGGGGCTGCAGTAGTGGCTGATCCGGGTGCCTTCTATGTCCCCCCAGCTCCCTGCCATAGCATGCCGCCTGTTGGTCAGCTTCTTGAGGCTAGGGAAAGGGTTTTGTTTCTCATTGTGTCCTCAGCATTAGACTGGACACAAATAGTAGTACATTTTGGTTTAATAAAATGAATGACTAGTGACTGTTACAGCCTTTGACCACTGATCAGGTGCTTGAGACTCTTATATTGATAGATTTTTTTTTTTTACACTGAAGTTAGAAACCAGCTTGATGCTTGGGTATCTTCTGGTCAAGCAGCTGCTTTTCAACTAACCTGATAACTTGGTATCATTGCAGAGGCCACTATCTTAAAACATTTTCTGCATTGTTCTTGAAGTGACATGATTTTACCTGTGTTAAAACATTGATTTCATTATTTCATTCATTTAGAGCTTTCATAATGTGTCTTCTGGCCTCTCTTTTGAAACCCCTGGAGGATCTAGTTTTATGCTATTATTTCCCTTGTTCTTCTCCTGGATGCTTTCAAAGCTAATGAGCTTCGAGGAGAAGGTACAGCATGCACGGTTACGTGAGTTTTTGAGCATTAAAACCAAGGTGGGGATTATAGTCTTCCTATGTGTTCTTCTTGATTACAGTGTTATCTGTAGTGATATTAAGTATTGTGTTGCGCTGAAAGTCTGCCAGGCTCTGCCGGTAATTTCAGCAGTATTATATTAAGTTGACTGACTGGTATTAATATTTCCCTAGGATGTGCAGAATCAGGGAAACTAGGTTTCAGGTTGAAGCCCGCTAAAGACTATTGTTATTTGCAGGGTTTTTCCTGCAGCCCTCGAGGGTGGGATCACCCTAGAGGGGATCACAGCAGGCACTTTGTATAATCACAGCAGATCTGTGGCTTTGTTCATTATGTGGCTTTGTTTATTAGTCTATCCTATAGCCAGAGCTTTTTCCGAATATCCATCTTTTGGACATGGGTCTTGTATCAGTTTCTTCCTGTCACCTCTCCCTTGGGGTGGGAGGAAGTCTGCACCAAGCAGTTCAGTGATTAAAGCCTCTCGGGTTGAACCAGCATTTTAGAGAGATGGTTTGTGGCTTGGGAGGACGTGGGGGGTGGCACTTTTTCTCTTACTTTTAAAAACATTTATTTCGGATTTATAGGAAAGTTATAAAAAGTTGTAGCAAATGAAAGGTTACAAAAAATTCTCAGGTTCCCCAAATGTTAACATTTTACCACTTTCCCTGCATCACTTTCCCTCTATGTTTGTATCTTTTTTTCTGAAATGTTTGAAAGTTACAGATAACATGCACCTTTACTCCTAAATACTTCAGTGGGTATTTTCTAAAAACATTCTCTTCACCATGCAGTTTTGAAAACTGAAACGTTAACACTAATGCAATATTAGCCTGTCTAATCCATAAACATTTTCATTCATTAGTTGTTCCATTAATGTCCTTTACTGCAAAAGACAAGTTTTGTGGGGCTGTTTTGTTTGTTTGTTTGTTTTGTTTATTTGTTTGGGCCCAGGATTAATCCCAGGCCACATGTTACATTTAGTTGTCAAGTCTCTCTAGTCTCCTTTAAAACCATTCAGTCTGTCTCAATAATTTTAAAGAGTGCAGATTGGCTATTTTGTGGGATATTCCTCAACATGAGTTTTTGTTTTTTGTGGGTTTTTTCGATGTTTCCTCATAATTAGGTTCAGATTTGCATGTTTGGCAGAAACAGCAGGGAAGCAATGTTGTGTCCTTCTCGGTGCCTCATACCAGGTGGCATGTGATGTCAGTTTGTCCCATCACTGGGGATACCTCCTTTGATCCCTTGATTAAGGTGGTTGTGTCTGCCAAGCTTCTCCACTGTAAAGCTCTTTGTGCCCCTTTGTAGTGAATAAGTATTTCGTAGGGAGGTGCTTTGAGACTGTGAGTATCTGATTTCTCTTAACACTGTCACCTGTAGTTTTAGTACCCACTGATGACTCTTGCCTGAGACAGTGATCACCATCATTCTTCCAACTCTATAATTCCTTCAGCATTTGTCAGCTGGGATTTTCCTCTCTGGGAGAGCTTCGCCTTCCAGGAGGAGCCTTTTGTGAGTGGCCTTCCTGAGTGGCCGGCCTGTGGCAGCACCAGGTGCCGGAATGTTGCATGCATGCCCTTAGCTGAGCACAGCAGTGGGCTTGACCTGCCCTGATCACCTGGCTTCTCTCACTCTTGGGTCGTGATTAGCTTTTTTTTACACCCAGTGACAAATTCGTACCTCCTGTTACTCTTCCACTTGTGAACCCTCTCAGGTATGAAGGCTTTCTCAACCGCACCTACAGTCTGCTGCCAGGCTGCTGCTTCTCTTGAAGCTCTGTTAGACTGCGTCACTGTCCTCCCCGTCACCAGAAAGCATGGAGCTTCTGGGACATCTCGGACTCATCTAGTCAGTTCCCAAGTTGGTGGCTTCTCCTTTGAAATTGCTTGGCTCTGTCCCCTCCACTTCAGTTCCATTGCCCCATCATCACCCTCCTTCTCAGTCCCTCCTGATTATGTGACAGTTCTACCAAAAATCTCTTCTTGCCTCCTCATCGCGCACGCGTGACTCCGCCCTCTCCTCTCCCGTGCGGTGTCGCCGCACCGTGCTTGTCTGCCCGCCTCTCCCTCTGCTTCTCTCCCCTCCCTTCACTCGTTTCTCTTTCCTACCGCCCCGCCCCCCTTTCTGTTTTCTTTTACAGCAGGCAGTAATTTTAAAATTGTTTTACAAGAATACAAACAATATATTAGAAGAACGTGGACCAAGCAGTATTTCTTTGCTTTGCGTGTGCCCTTCATATGTCTGAAACGTGTCCCACGTTCCTCCTGCCTCTGGAACTTGTCCTCATTCTCCAAGACTCCCCGACCCTGGCAGCACTTCGATGTTAACCTCCCCGGTGGTTCTTCTCAAGCACATTTCCATTTCCTGAGAACAGGGTTCTCTGTTCTCCCATCTGTCTAGAGCCTGGCACCCAGTATCCATTCAGTCGTTGACTGAAGGAGTGGTTTCTAACCCGGAACACCTAAATCCTATTGTTTTCTTCTTTCTTTGTCTTTGTAAGTTTTAGTCATGTCCTTCCCTTCATTGGCATTGTTTGTACTTTTATAGAATTTCAAAGAGGAAATTCAGCCTGCTATCCGTGAACTTGGTGTGTGTGTTGGGAAGTGGTCCATGTATATCCCATTTTCTTCCTCCCTCCCTCCCTCCCGCCTGCTTGCTTGCTTGCTTCCTTCCTTCCTCCTCACTGCAGGACATGCGCACTGATTTTAGAGAGGGGGAAGAGGAGAGAGAAGGAAACACTGATGTGAGAGAGAAACATTGATCGGCCACCTCCCTTGTGCTCCCGACTGGAGACTGAACCCACAACCCAGGCATGTGCCCTGACCAGGAATTGAACCGGTGACCTTTCTGTTTACAGGACAGTGTTCCAATCAATTGAGCCACACTGGCCAGGGCTGTACTCCATTTTCTAAAAGGACTTTTTTCCTATTTATATTATTAAAGTATGTTCATTTGTAGAAATTAAACAAAAGAATATGAAAAAGAATGTAAGGACTCATTGCTCTCCACTTAGTGAAAACCACTATTAATGGTTTGATATGTTTCCTCACAGTCTGCTTTCTCTGCACATGCGTATAAGTTTTTACTTTTACATGATTCAAAGTAGCAGTGTGACAGTTCTCAAAATTTTTGAGCATGACTTAGATGAGGTAAAAGAGCCCCGAATTCACCCACCAGCTTACTGACTCCTGTTTTCCTGCAGCAAAAGGATTCGGTAACCAGGAGTTGGGTTGGAGGACCGTATCTTAAGAACCACTGCTTTTTACACCAGGCATTGTTTGGTGAGCATGCTCCCGTCATCAGACTCCTGGAAGACATGGCTTTTAATGGCTGCATCTTGTTCCACTAAATGGCTCTATCACAGGTTATTTAACCATTCCTCTGTTGTTAGGCCTGTATAGCATTTTTCCTGGGGTTCTTTAAAATAAAGAGACAGATTAGCCAGGGAGGCGTTTTAGAATAGTGATACAGAGCTTCAGATCTAGTTAGACCGGGGTGCGAGTCTTTGTCCTGCCGTTTGCTCCTCTGTAAACCAAGGGTGACGGCAGGACCTGCCTCTCAGGGCTGATGTGGGGGTGCAGGGAGCTTGCCTGTGAGGCCCTGGGCGTGGCGCCTGGCACACGGGAGTGCTCAGTGTGTGCCAGTCGTCACTATGAGCGGCGCCCTCCGTACATTTGGCCTTCCTTCTCGTGGCCTGTCGGGCTTTACCAATTACATGTAGATAGCCATGACTTCTTTCTTTCCTCCCCATCTTTCAAATTTGAAAAATTGTGAAACCCATTGCAGAGTTGTAAGAATAACACATCAGTGACCCAGTGCCTGCCAGTGGTTGACATTCTGCCGCATTGCCCCGTCCTCCCTTCACTGTTGTAGTTGCTGGACCATCGGGAAGGGAGCCGCAGACTCTGTGTCACCTCACTCCTGAAGGTCTCAGCACAGGTCCCCACACTGCAGGACCGTTCCTTCGTGGCCGCAGTAACACCACTTTTAAGGATATTAGCATTAATTTGATAGTGTTTTACATAAATAGTCTGTATTTAAATTTACACATTTGACTTAAAACCATCTCTTACAGCTGAGTTTTTTGTCCCAGGAGCCAGTTAATATTCTTAGTGCATTCAGCTATTGCCTCTTCATCTCTTTTAGCCCAGAACAGTTCTCTCTGTCCCGAAACCTTGTTTTTTAATGATGACC